CAAAGGCAAAACTGCTTTGCCTCCCACCCACCCCCACTGGCATGTGGCCTCCTGAAGGTTACCCACAAGGGAATGTGGCCCTTCCTGGCTTCTGTGCTAAAAAGTCTCCTTCAGTCCTCACCATAGGAGTTTTCTGAGCCCTTCATAGCTCAAACAGGGCACCAGTCTCTTTCTTATATAAGTCTATATTCCCTTTTAATTATCTTTAGTATAGAAAAAAGAAGGGAGGCAAATGGAGAGAGGGGAAAAAGAAGGGAAGAGATAAACGCTTTGCAAGGTCTACCAAATTGTCATGGATATGACGCGATATAAATATCACAATAAAATTAGTGTGCGTGTTTTGTTGCTGAATTAGAATAATTGCCACAATTTATTCTAAATAGATTTTAGAGACATCTGTGAAGACAATATAATAGGCCAATAATCTCTCTTCCATTTCCTAACAATCAGAGTTCCACAAGCAATACAAATTGTTTAAGGCTTTCTCATCTGAAACTGTGTTATTCCTCCTACAGTGGCCATGTGTCCTACCTTACAGAGGAGTCCGTTTCAGGGGCTGTCAGAAGGCAGCCCTCAATTGGAGGAAGTATTTTATCTGGTCCAAATCTGGCTCAAACCTAAGAAGGCAGAGCAGGAACCTTGAACTTGCCCACCAACAGTGACCACCTGGACTGCAGACTGGGCAGGCACACATGGGACCTACAGTAGCCATATTATCTTTCTCCATGATGTACTGCCCTGTTTGAGTCCTATTTGAATTATAAATGGAATCATGGGGTTGTAGCCAATGCTACTTTTACTCAGAAGTAGATCCATTTCAATTAACAGAAATCACTACCTTAGGTCTATTAATTTAAATGGGTCTACTCATTTAAAGTAAGTGTGCCACAACCCATAGTCTTTTATGCCACAACCCATAGACTTTCTATTTAAATCGTAACCATTATTTCTAAATTTGCATCTATGCATACAAACTAGCATATGCATTTTTAATGCAAATCTGTGCCCCCTTGTGTGTGTTTTTTAAACGACGCATAAATGGCCACTCTTCTCTTCTTCTTTTGAAGAGATAATACTCTGCTTTCTAAGGGCCAAATGAGACACGTCAGCTTAGCTCCAAGGCAGGGGAGGGGTTCTCTTCTAGGAGCAGTGTTTGTGAGCCTCACGCCACCCCTGTCCCTTCCTGAGATGAAGGTGCAGCTGTGGCGGGGACTGGATCTGTGGGGCCCCCCGAAGATGGGGGTGGGGTCAAGCAGGGGAGGCCCCTGGAAGATTACCTGTGAGGTCCCTAAGATTCTGCAGACAACATCTGGCCCACAGATTGGCAGTTCTGAAACCCTAATGTATGGGGTCTTAAGCCATATCATGTAATGTTTTCTGGGCTATCATGATGCACAAGTAGTTTCTTTACTGCTTTGCCTCCTCAACGTCACTTTTAATGGTTTCAGTTTAGCTGATTTTAAATGGCCCAGAACACTAGTGGGTATAGTCCTAGCTAATAGGGAAGGATTGAGTGCTTGAACTAAATGGACTTTTCCCATCTCTAGTTAGCACGGTTCCTCAGCTTAATTACATATGACTATTTTATAAGCCCACCTAATTTCCTGGACCCAAATATGCTTCATTAAGCTCAAGGCTTTGAAACAGAACTCTATAGCAATCGCAGTGAGATTAAAAATTGGAAATTGCGGGTGGGTGGGTGGGTAGGTAAGCAGGGGAGTGGAGGAGACACAAATGGCAGGAGGTTCAATTAAAAGCGAGTTTAATGATCTATTATCAGCAATAAAGATATTGCTATGCCTTCACCATCCTGGTGCCATCCAGCTGTTTTCAACTACAACTCCCATCAATCCAACCAGAATGGGACTGATGGGAGTTGTGGTTCAAAAGAGCCATGTCAGTTGAAGGGCCAAAGGTGTGTCACTCTCCCCTACTCCCCCACAAAGACACTCCAGTTAAAGTTCATCCAGCCACTTTTGGAAATGTAACAGAGAAGTAGTGAGAAGGATAGTTTGGCTGCAAACTGGGCTTCCCAGACAATGGGCAGTCAACAGATTCAGATTCTGTCTATGTGCTGAATGGGTTAGGGTTGTGCTAGGCTATCTATATTATACACATCTATATTGGGGGGATTGTGTGTATGCATTTTTTGGTAAAAGGCAACAGCACCCGGTATTATTATTACTATTTTAAGAAGGAAAGGAAAGCTGTTTTTCAGGCCTATACACTGTGGTGGGAAATTTTTCTTCAATCTGAGATTCCCATTCACTCCCAGGCAATCTTCCATGGGTTGCACGACTGCAGTGGATAGAGCCAGCTGCAAAATTGGGAGTGGGCTGGAGGCAAAATGTGAGCAGAGCAATAGATGTAACTCTTACCTTTGCACAGTGGGCTACATCTGAGCAGATAGATGCAACTCAGAGATACCCATACCCAGATAGGCATTATCACAATCCAGCCAGGCAAAAGCAACAGTGGAGGGCATGGAGCAGGACCACTGAGGGGGTCTGGCCTAGGGAGGTGTGCCCTGGGGAGATTCCTGAGGGCTTGACAGAGAGGCTTGGAGGGTCACTTTCAACTCCCACAGATTATGCCAGGCTAAATCACAGAGCCATTTAATCTAAACGGAACTTCCAGAGATCAAACAGCAGGCATTCAGATCTTTAAACAGTTGGAAAGGTTATCCCCCACTATGACAAAATCAGAACAAATTATGCATTAGGAATTATGCATAAGGAACCTAAGCAAGTATTCATTATTTGTAGAATATTTAGAGTTCAAAATCCAGACTTTGTTGGTGCTGTATCTGGGCAATGTTATTAAAATAATTTACACCCCATCTTTCCATTTTTTAATATAAAAAAAATGCTGTTATGCAGCTTGGGCTGGTTTTTAGTGAGGAAATTGAAGTGGCTGGTGTTTTGTGTTTTAAATGTGCTTTAAATGTTTTAACTATGTCTCAGTTTGTATATTAATTGCCTAGAAAATGTTGTTGTCTGGGGGGGGTCACTGAACATTCTAAACAAAGCACATTGATAAATTCCCCCATACTCAAGGTGGCTCAAAATGTATTTAGAGAGCAAATCATCACAATTGCAAGAACTCTGTTAAAATCCAGATTAAAATCGCAGATAAAATAGACTCCTCAAAATCTCAGTGTGCTAGAAGAATAGGTTCAGCTCAGCAAAATACAGCAGAGAAAGGTCTTCACAAAATGATGGAAGGCCAGTGGAGAGGGGCTGAAGTGGAGCCCCATATTTATTTATAATTTATTTATCTATACAGTTTTTAGACTGCTTTACATCAAAAGTCACAAATGGTTTCCACCAATAAAGACACATGTAAAAACAGATGTAATTTAAAATCAAAGCAAACAATACAAAACACAGAATAGGATGGGTAGGCTAAACAACTCATTGACTAGATGATGAGAGGCCAATGATGTCATTGCCATCTGCACCTCTAGGAGGAGAGTTCCACACGCAGGGTACAATCACCAAGAAGGGCCTGTCCCAGCAGAGCAGAGCAAGTAATACTCACTGGGAGCATTGCAAGCACAGCACCCCCACCAACTGATCTCAGAGATTGGGTATGCTGATATGGCAGAGATGCTCCATTTGGTAGCCATATGTAGGACGTTCCATAATATAGGCATGGCCATATGTTTCTATACCAGCTAAGTATCACCCACCAACAGGATGCAAAGAAGACTCAACACCCGCTTTTTCAAAAACCTATTTAAGAGAAGCAGATTTGACAGCTGCAACTTCCCCTTCAGAGCATGGGTACAATGCAGATCCTATGAAATATGACAGAGTCCCTTTTGGAGTGGCACACTTCGATTAAAACTGGGTATAGTAATCAGGTGGAGATGGGCAGATAAAGTTGCTTTGAAGCCAGATCTGGCCCAAGGTCTGTCAAATGGCCACCCGATGTGAAATATATCCAGGCCCATTAGAGTTGTGTGAATTGGCTGAGAGTTTGTACACCATCATCACTTTCACATCTAGGTAATGACAAAAAAGTGATGGATGTAAAAAACTTAATGAACAAAATGGCAAGCGAGGGAACTTTGCTCATCAATCACAATTCAGTAGCTAACTTAGGATTTCATGGCTCAAACTAAGCTCCTTTCTGCAATGGACAATTATGAATTATGAACTAAGTCCCAAGTATGGTCTGACCATTACTAAATCTTCATTTTCATCTCCATTACCAAGAACCTGATTCCATCATCTTTCAGAATTGAACTAACCCTTTCATTTAACATCAAGATATACTTTTTTCCCTAGGAAACTGCTTTCTGTTCCAGTGTGTTTCTGAAAACTCCTAATGATTGTGAGTAGACTGCTTAAGTACACACTTTGAAATACTGTAAATGGGATGACTAACCTATCCAGTATTAAGAAGATTTCAACAGAACTTCCTTAACAGGGAAAATCTGTTTTCCGGATCTTTGCTGCTAGAATGGGTTAGGTCCATTTTCTCCAAACAATGCCCATCTTCCCCACACCTAACATAGGTGACAACAGGATACTTCTTCCTGCTACTCCTCAATCCAGAGAAATTGCTGACTGGGGAATGAGGTGTGGGGACCCTCCCATGTTATGACTCTGTGCCAGGACTTGTCTTCAGTGCAGTTCAAAAATCTAGGCCAGACATCATAATTATAGCAAGGTTCTTTTCTCTGAAATGTCTGTTACAACCTCTGGGAGCAATACACAAAGTTTCTATGCACTGTTGAGAACCTTGATTTTCTTTCTTTCAGGGAAATAGATGCTATTTGTGGAATTTACTGTATTTCATGTGGAAGATAACTAGAGAGAGCGAAAATAATGAGGCACAATTTGCCAGGAATGTTTCCTGTTCTTGTCTTACTGAAACAAATGAAGCAAATCCTAGAATACTCTGTCCGTGGAGGATACCCAGTAAAACAGTTGTAACATTCAACTTATGGAGACAGAAGAATCAAGAAAATGATCACAGTGAACAAAACCTACGTTTTCTGTCGTTCCAGTGATCACGTGCAGCCCGTCATACGTTGACTTGATATACATCCCCTGAGAAATAATGAGATGAGCAATGATTAATATACAACAGGCTATTAAGAATTCTGCAAACAAGTGGAACCTGAAATCAAATGCTGCAGTGTGGTATGCACCTGCTCAGGGTTCCAGAAAGCAAGCTGAAATCTCCTTTCATTCTACCTCCCCACCACCCCAATTTCCCATTTTCCCCTATAACAAGCAGCATCTTGTGGCCAGTAATAACGCAAGAAGGCATTGCTTTCCGTCCCATCCTGTATTCATTACATGCAGCACTGTATCCATTCTGCTGCAGCTCATCTTGAACCCAAAACTATGTTATTCAACTTGTTATCCACTGTGGTGAAATTAAGTAAATTATGTTATTACATTGCCATCACATTATCCCTCCCCGTTCATTCACTGCAAAGGAAATGCAACGTGAATGAGGAAACATAATCAGCTGTATATCGTTTGCAGACTGAAAGAATCAGTATCAGCATCAGCAAATACCAATTGTATTAGCTGGATTGATCACTGTTCCAGACATAGAGAACTGACAGACTCATTAGCCATTAAATGGGGGGTCTCAGCAGCAAGGTTTTTTTATCACACCACCAGTTTTAACTAAATAAAATATGCATGTTCTCATTTTCATGTGCTGGGGGGGGGTGCCAAATAGCAAGGAATTGCTGCTTCCATCAGCCATCCATATGCGCTTCTAATGGTCATCCACTGTTAGACAAAGAATGCTGGACCAGATGGGCCTTTGGTCTGATTCAGCAAGGTAATTTTTGCCTGTCAGGAAGAGAAAGTGCATTTTGGAAGACCTGAGTCTAGAGTTGGGCTGAAAATTCCACCATACCAACCCAACCGCAATTCCCCAGCCCACTGATTGGCAGACACATTCTGCGGAGGTGCCATTTTGGCAAACGTTGCCCTTCTCCCAAATGGATATTGGGTGTTTCTTGAGCTGCCACCTCCCCCTGAATTTTTATTTTATTTTTTAATTCTGGGAGGAATTAAACTTATCTAGAACTTATCTAGAACTCTAGTCATCAAGATAAGTTCTGCTCTTAGAATGGGAAAAGAATGAGAAGAATGAGAAAAGAGAAAGCTACTGTACCACCAGTGATAAGCTCCCTAGATCCTATGATGCAACTTGGGGATCCCAAAATCACTATCTGGGGTTTTTGCACTCCCAGGATTTGAGCCATCAGCACTCATTTTGAAAAGAGCTGCTTGCAAGAACTCAGCTCCTCGGCAATTCATGACAAGCGATTGTAAACTCTGCAAGACTTCAAGCAGCAAGTCAGAGATCTTCAGAACTTGCTAATAAAGTCTTTTCGTTTTAAAGTGCTCACATCTACCATTCAGTTTTAGTACAAATCAATGCAAAATGCCTGAAAGCCTGATCCTATGAGAGCCATTGTATCTACAAAGGAATGGTTAGGATGGCAGAGGTGGGGCATAGCAGCTGCTGCCTCACTGTACTGCTGGAAAAATTTCTAACTTAAAAGGAAACAGGTTTCTTTTCTCAAACTGAGCAAAATGTGTGAAATCTACCTGAGAGCTGAAATGAAAGTCTGTCCTAAAAACTTCCCATTCCCTTGATCCTCAAATAGAAAAAGCTAACGAGGTTGCTTTTGTTGTTTCCAGGCATTATCACTGCACATGAAAATCCAGAGACTGGGGTTGGGGGGGACAACAGTATATCAAAATGAGAAGCAGAAATGTGAATAAGATTTTTTTTAAGGAGTATTTTTATCACGAGAACCTACTTCTGTCATATTCTCTACGTTGAAGTACAGAGCTTCATCTCATTAAAAAAAATAAAAAGTTGAAATATTATATGCTGTTTTTATTCAGCTTGTCTAGATGCATTGCTTTGTACCTAGAGCAAGATAGCTTTGGCTCCATTTTCTATTTAGGACAGATGTTCTGCTACAGCGCTTTGAAACTGGCATGGAAAATGAACAACAGGCAAGGGCAGTCTTTGCCAACCTGGTGCCCTCTGGAGATATTTGGGGCTACATTTCCCATTAGCCTCAGCCAACAGGACCATGCTGGCTGGGGCTAATGGGAATTGCTGTCCAAAAGGTCTGGAAAGGGCAATCGGTGGCCAAAGGTTGATCAAGGTTGTAGCTAGTACCCCTTGCTAAGTGGGATTTCAAAGAAATGGATAGGAAATAGCCAAAGAACATGTCTGGGTGCCTGCTGCTAAGCCAAAGCTATGTGCATGAAGACTGCAACCTGTACACATTTACCTGGGAATAGTCCTATTAAGGGGTGTATGTGATGTTAGGGGAGGTGAGGTACCTCTAGTGGGCGACATGTTGTGCTCCTTCTGGGGCAGTTTGTCCACCTTTGGTTCCCACCTGCACTCAGCTCTCACCTGTGGCTCCTAGAAGCTGTCAGCAAGCGACAGTGGAAAATGGCTTTGGCTGGCTGGTTAAACCAGATGAGGGCAAACAATATTTATATTTTACATTTTTATATCATCATTTTAGATCTTATGATTTATGTGGAAAGTGTTTGATTCAGTTGGTGCATTTTTTGATGTTTTATTTATTGCTTATGACTACTTTTGTACTTTTTCATGTTGTAAGCTGCCTTGAATGTGGCTTGAACTATGGAAAGGTGGCATACAAATACAATTATGTATGTTCTGCATGTGGGCGCGGGTGGTGCTATGGGTTAAACCACAGAGCCTAGGACTTGCCGATCAGAAGGTCGGCGGTTCGAATCTCCACAACGGGGTGAGCTCCCATTGCTTGGTCCCTGCTCCTGCCAACCTAGCAGTTCGAAAGCACGTCAAAGTACAAGTAGATAAATAGGTACTGCTCCGGCGGGAAGGTAAACGGCATTTTCGTGCGCTGCTCTGGTTCGCCAAAAGCGGTTTAGTCATGCTGGCCACATGACCCGGAAGCTGTACACCGGCTCCCTCGGCCAATAAAGCAAGATGAGCGCTGCAACCCCAGAGTCGGTCACGACTGGACCTAATGGTCAGGGGTCCCTTTACCTTTACCTATGTTCTGCATGCAAGGCAAATGCTCTGCCATTGAGCTACGGCTCTTCCCTCTTGTAACCACAAAGATCTACTTTAACGTTTTCTTGTGCTCACTGTTAGGGAGAGTCTCAAAGGGCCAGTTTATCCTTCATGGTAAGAAGATTCTGACACTAAAGGAAATATATTGTTTCTGCAAGACAGCCTATGTCATGATGACACTGCTTCAGGGACCATTCCGCATTATGTTTAATCAAACAGGCAGCTCAAGCTGTACAAATTACCTGCACAGGGTTTTTCCTCAGTTGCCATCAGTTATGGGGTGGAAAAGAAGAAGCTGCTGCAGGCTGTCTTTGGTCACACCAGGAAGTTTCTAATTTATTGTTATTACCAGCAAAGAAAGTCAGGTGTGCATGGCTGGTCTGTTACAAGTAGTTCTCTCTGTTTGTGTGCATGTATGTGTATGTTTATGTATGTTTATTGGGAGGGGGTGCATGTGCATGTGACCTCTCACTGCCAGGGCTGAGAGGCAGGTTTTGCCACCACTGGAACAACAGCCCTTAGTGTACTCTTCATTCTTTCCAACAAGAATGGATGACAAGTGTGTAGGAACCCAGGCCACTACATCTTAGCGAGTTAGATCACGGGGCCATTTGGCTCAGTATTGTCTTCTTAGACTGGAAGCAGCTCTTCAGGTGTTCAAAGCAGCAGCTTCCCCCAGCTATACCCAGAGGATTGGACTTGGGATCATCTGCATGCAAAGGCAAATGCTCTACCACAGAACTATTGCTCTTCACCACTTATTTGATAGTTAAGACTTGCTTCCCTGCCAGCAGTAACTGTGTCATTGTTAAACTCTGTGCTGGAAACAAGACAAGCACTGTTGACAGTTCTGATAGACCTCTTTTGCAGTTTTGATACCAATGTCCATGTTGGACCACCTGATTTATGGTGGTGGTGTGATCACCCCTGGAGGGTAGGCCTCAGAGTGGTGGTTAGTAGGGATGGGTGAATCTGGCCGTTTCTGTTAAGTTTTCCAAACTTAAATTCACATTTCCACATCAGTCTGCAATTTTGATGCAAACTTCTAATATACATGTTTGCATGCAATTTTGCCTAATATGCACATTTTTGCAGAGCAATTTCCTCTAAAACAATGCTTTTTTTGTATGTTATTTTCATGGCATCACGGAATTGTAGAGTTGGAAGGGGCCCAAGGGTGATCTAGTCCAACCTTCTGCAGTGCAGGAATCTTTTGCCCAATGTGGGGCAACATGGGGAATATTTGTGTACACAGTACTTGGCTGCAGAACTACACCGCAAAAGCTATGTGTATTTTAAAGGACACCTGTGCTTTCTTTCACAATTGTTTGGCAAAGTGTGGATTAGGTAGGTGGGTTTGCCTTGAAATGCAAACTAATTCACATTCCGTAGTAGTGAGGATTTCTGCTCATCCCTGTGACCTTCAGTTTCTTGGGATTCTGCAAGGTCTGCTCTTGTTGCTCCATCCTGTTTAACAGCTTTGGCAAAAGATTTGGGACCCTGTGCACTAAATATGCTGATAATTTAAAGCTCTATCCATAGTTCAGTGAACATCTGATATGTATGCAGAAAGCCCCAGATTCAATCCATGGCATCTCTGGATAAAGCTAGGGGACACCCCTGTCTGGAACCCCGGAAAGCCACTGCTAAACAGTGTAGACAATCCTGAGCTGTAGGGGCCAATGACAGCTTCCTGTATTCCTATGTTCCTTTTCATCTGGTCCCAGGAAAACTGTGGAGGTTGTGAACTGACAAATGGATCATAAGATGATTGTTATACGTTTTATGAAGCAAACCTGTGTGTGATTTGAAAAGTTATTGTGCAATTTTATGATATCATGAAATAGACGTCTGTAAGAAATGGCTGATCTTAGCTTCACTTTTATTATCTGGATGTAGCTGAAGGAATAAAACTAATCAAGGTTTATTTTTAACATCTGTGCTCTTTCACTACCCACCTCTAATGTTTAACTTTTGTAAGGAGGGGCTCCTGATCCTATATCCTAGAGTGCTAATGAAACGATCCTTTGCCAAAGCTATCTGCACACTCTATCCTAGCTTCTAGTTCTCAGTAGTACTAAAGTATGACAGAATGTTGAGAAAGGGCACTTTTACACCCAGTGCCCATTGCTCACCATTTCCTGCTCACCAGAGCAGACAATGTACAGGTCAGGAGCCAAGTGAGAGTCAATGAAGTGCTAAATTCCCCTCTACTTTTCAGGAAGAAGGCGGAGGCTAAGATGGGTAGTCGGGTCCAAGGCAACCTCCAGACCTTGTGCTTTGAACTAACCATGGTCTTGGAACTTGACTCTGACTCTACCTGCCTGAGTGAGTCACCTTCAGGATTCTTTCATGCCCCATGGTAAGAACTGTGGATGGGGAAGAAATTTAGTTCTGTTTGCATTTTAATGAGAAATTACTTATTTCATGCTTAACAAACCAGTGTGTGTGAACTGAAACACAGTTCTCTTTAGACAACACTGCACAGCAGTGTTTGAAAAACGTAATAAAAAATTACATTACAAAAAGAAAAAGAAAACTGCACGTCTGAGAAATTTGCAATGTGGTTCCTTGGCCAAATTTTGTGTACAAAAAGGTGTATTTTGGGGAAAGGTGACACAATAAAATGCATTATACAAACATGTGCATATTAGGAGAAATTTGCACTAAAATTCTGGAAATTTTACATGATACTTAAAAAAACCACAACTATGCAAACTGCTGTGGAAAACTGAATTTAAAATTGGGAAAATGAGAAAACAGCACATTCACCCATCCCTAGTGAAGACTGGACAATGAGCTTTCTTGCATTTAAACACAAACTGTTTCAGCAGCTATCAGAGAGTGCTGGGCAATACTGGGGGCAAGAGGGAGACATAAAAGTCACAAAATAATGCAAACAATAAACATGAAAAATAGCATTCATAGATGAGCCACCTGACAACAAGCTACATTAAGCTCAGCTGGGAAAAATATACTAACAAAATACTCAAACAAAAGAGTATAATTCTACAACTTTTAGGCCATCAGTGCAAAGGACCTTCTTCTGACAGTTATAGTTCTAACTTCATACACCAAAGGACTATGAAATGAAGCCTGATTTAAATAATGCATTCTTAAATAGCCCTCTGCTTGGTTCCCCAAATTTCTCCTGGGAAATGCTCCTATTTTTGCATTGCTGCAAAAACCTTACCATACAAGCAGAGCTCTTGAATGAAGTAAAAATAAAATTGCATTATTCTATACAATGTTTGTGCTTGGAGGGAAACAAATTATAAAACCCCCCTCATTGAAATAACTCGTAGTTCTGCACTGTCTAACAATCATACAATGTAATCCATTCTGCTGTAATCTATGGGCTCCATCCACCAAACACTGTTCTTGTACAAATCCCATTAATGTAAATGGAGTTTGCATAGGAACGACACTTGGTTGAATGCCTCCTGTATTGACAAGATGCTAGGTGAAGTGAAGCAAGAATAGCATATCATTCTGAAAAAGAGACATCTCTGTTGGTCACCAGGGAAATTTCATCTATCAAGGATTTGCTTGCGGCAGTTCTTGCCAGAGAGAAGGGAGATTTTTGACAACAGCATTTTCTGGAAATTGGATAAGAGTGAAATGGACTTCCCATGTTTCAGGCACTTGAGTGCCTATGAATTTGCAGGAGCAGAGAGGTCACAGAGAAGAAGCCAGAAGAAGCAAAATGTTGTTGCTAGGAACCTGTCTGAATCAGGCCCTGCAGAGATCTCCTTTGAGGTTTGAGACCCCCAGAGAACCCTCAAAACTGAGAAACTAGAAGAGCCTGTAACAGCCCCAAGGCAGCCTGAAGGACGTCGTCAAGGGACATTTACGCCCATTGGTTTCAATGGGTCTACTCAGAGTTTGACTGATACTACAATCCTCTTCCTACTAACCTGAGAGTAAGAGCCACAGAATTCAACAAAGTTTTATTCTGAGTAGACATGGTTAGGACTGCATCATAAGGCAAGCACTTACTGCCTTATGAACAAGCACTGGCCAATCCATCCCTATCATATTTAAATTTCATTCATTTCAATAAAATAAACCTGATTAAAGGGATGGAGGATAAATTCTATACTTCCCAAAACAATATGTGAACCAAAACAGCTATCCTTTGAAATTCACAGTTCTCTGAATTTTGCAACATTGCTCTCCATCAAGGTAATGTATACAAAAAAATGTGTATATTGGGATGAAGAATGCATAAAAAGGCACAGGTTAGTGAAAATAATGTACAAAAATGCATATTAGGGAAAACTGCTTGCAAGAATGTGTACATTAGGAAAAAGTGCATGAGAAACGGTATATATCAGGAGGAAAATCCCAAAGAATTTTCATCAGGACTTCCTCAAAAAAAAAAAAAATAAAAATTGGAACCTGATGTGAAAGGTGAAGAATCCAATATAAGACTGAAAATAAATTTGAAGAAATCAAGATTGTTCAAAGCTACTAACTCTGGCAGGCAGGTTGGCAAGTTCACTAAAATAAATGTGTAGCGGGATGTGGGACTAAACCTCAAAGCCTGGGTGTCCCCACCACTTCACAAGCACCCTTTAGTATGAGGTGAGCATTTCATGCATTAAATGCCTACCCAGCCTTGCTGAAAACCACCTTCCTAGATTGCTATTACTTACCAGCCCTTCACTGGGCATGATGCTGGTAAGGTGAACAACTTCAAGGTGAGCTGATTGAGACACCAGAGAATCGGATGAGAGCGAAATGATGTGATCACAGATGCCAGAGAGTGTTTTACACTGGGGAGAAGAGAGAGAGAGAGAGAACATCATAAGCTTTTCCATTTTTTTTAGAGAAGCACTAAACAACTCAGCGTTAAAACATTACTCACAGGAAACAATTCAGTATCATGTATTTTGCAAAAACTGGCATAAGACTCTACTTGCTACACAAAATAATAAGAGGCAAGCCACCTGTTCAAATGACATAACCAAAGTTAGTGTCGGAATACATGGGTGCGAGGAAACCTACAGCAGGGGTAGCTAAATGGCAGCCCCTCAGATGTCGCTGGACAACGACTCCCCAAATCCCTCACCATTGGTTATGCCTGCAGGGGTTGTTGGAAGTTATAGTTCAGCAAAATCTTGTGCAAGGGAAAAATCAGAGACAAAACCCACTGGCCTCTTACACATGTCCCTGCTGCCATTCTAGCAATCCCCACATATTGGGCACTGAACATCTATTTTTGGAAGGGGTCGGCTTTGTTCAAGTAGGCTCCATGTTAGATTAAGAACTCTGTAGATAAAGATTCTCTGTTGTGCAGGGAACTCACTAGAGTAGAGCAGGCACCCCACCCTTGCAGGTATTCAACCCCCCAACATGGGGAGGGGGCTTTTAGAAATGGTGAAAGCTGCATGCATGTCATAGGTAGAAGGATCAACAGGCTGATTCCCATACTCCTTCTTTCATGATGGCAATCACAAGTTAGTGGAGACTGAGTGCAGTGTCTCTGTCCACTTGAGAACAGAGGATTCCCACTCACAAGGAGGGAACTATGCATGCATAGCTTCCATGCAGACTTTCCATTGAACTCCTATATGGCCACCTGTTCACAGAAGGGTCCTTCTCATCCTCACCTCCAGCTCTGATGTCAGCAGAACTTTCCCCTCCAAGTTAGTTTTCATTTTACACAAAAATACCAAATTCAGAGCATCTTCAGATGCTGTGATCCTCTGCTGCCAGGGGAACGCATAATCACTTCTGTCGTCAACTGGCAACACAGAATTGCCTTGTATAATGTGAAAAACTGAGCAGGGAAGTTGTTCAGACAGTACATCCTCAAACCTGTGAAGCTTCCCTTTACAAGAGAGTTCCCCTTCAAGACATGTCAGTCCAGTGCGCATTCTGCTGGCTGCATGGGGCTGTCCCATCTGCACATTTATGACATAACTGATCTTTCAACTGCCCACATGGAATCCTAATAGCTAAAACAATCATTTAAAATAGGCTGAACTTGAGCACTAAAAACACAACAGATGAACCAGTATTCTATTTATTTTGATTATTTATTTAGATCATTTGCAGCATGAGAGCACTTCTGCGCTCATGTCCTGCTGTTGGGCTTCCAATAAGCCATCTGGTTGGCCATTATGAGAACAAGATGCTGGACTAGACAGGCCACTGGTCTGACACAGCAGATCTCATCTTAAACTCTTATAGCCTCAGCTGAAACAGCTCCCACAAAGGCTGTATAATCAATTAAAAACAAGACAGCTCCTGCTCTCAGGCTTACAAACTAAAAGACACCACACAAAGTTGGGGAGCGACAGAGGAGAAAGAAATAAAAAAGGAAACTCAGGGCCCAGATCCTAAAGTTAAGCAGTAGTTCTTCTAATGGGCAACTTTAAGAATAGAAGAAGAATTAACTCTCTTCCATTTTATTTTATGGGCAGCTCCACTCTCAAAACACAAGTTAACAACAGGAAGGAAAAGATATTCTAACCCATTTGCAATAACAGTCAGAATACTAAAATGGTACACTTTTCCATTCATTATTCCCCTTCGCTTTGTTTAAGTATAACCCTACAGTGGGGTAGACTGTGACCAGATAGTCTGCGTGCCTGCTCAGTCTCTTGTCTGGGTGTTCAGTGTTGGTGGGCAATTTCAGAGTCCCTGCCTGCTCTCCCTTCTTCAGGTTCTTTTAATTCTAAACTGGACTTGGATCAGGCAGTCCTTCAAACAGAGGTATGTATTCTGCAAAGTTAAGTCACATGTCACTACCCTAGCTCCCCACAGTTAAAGTGCAAGCGACCCATTTTTTTGTTATTTTGGTAGCTGAGGCAGAAAATTCCATCAGCACCTCTCTGGCAGTATCCGTAATATCAAATTAAATAACTAGGGATGGGGGAGAAGTTCAATTCAACTCTTACTTAATCTATCAAATTATCGCTTCCTGAAAAAAAGGTGAGAACCGACATACATTCCTTCAAAATTCACACTGATCTGAATTTTGTGATGAAGTTCTCCAACCGAACAATAATGCATATTTTAGGGGAAAGTGTGTGTAAAAATCAATACATTAGTGTACATTAGTCTTAAGTACATAGGAAATTGTGTTTATTCGGAGAAATTCTACAAAAGGTTGATGAATATTCATGAGGATTTTTTAATAATAATAATAATAATAATAATAATAATAATAATAATAATAATGCAAATTGCTTCAGAAATGTGGAGAATTGAAGAGCGGAAGAATGAAAAGCTAAGAGAACTGTAACTGACAAATCACTCCACCCAAAGAAATAACCATTTGCTGTGCCCTTTCATGACACACAAAGTCAGATGCCTGAGACGGCAGCATCATTCTGCCTAACAGTAGTTGTTCTACAAGTTTTTCCTTCTTGTTACAGTGTTCTCTGGATGGAGTTTGAGCCAGCTGGCACCTGCCCTAGCATCAAGCTTATCTAAACAATGGATAGTTTGTTCCGCTGTCCTGGCAGGGTCAAAAGTGCTAGAGATAACAAGCAGTGTGTCATTAGCATACTAATTTACACATCTTTGTAGCAGCTGCAGACTCATTTAGACAAGGAGCCATCAAAGCGGCAGGAGGAAGATCAGAGTGACAATTGCTAAAAACAACAACTGTGAGGTCTGTGTTGTACTGATGCTGGGCTCACAAACTACATTTTTCCAAGCTTATATCTTGGAAAACTACGTTTTTTTCAAGCTTGTATCTTGGAAAATAAAAGCAGGCCTGCTGGATCCAAGCAAATATCTGCATCCTGTTTTCTGTACTGGCCAACCTAGGAATGTGAGAGTTTGCTCCCACCTCTTTCACACTTCCTAAATCAAAAACGTGAACAAAAACTCTGATATTCTTCAGAATCCAGATATCTTTTCATTTTGAAATGGCGTTCTGCAACCAAAGAATGCATGCATGCAAGCACACATAACACACACAGAGAGTGTATATTAGGGGACTGTGTGCACACCAATGTTTACACTGGTGAAAATAGCATACATTACAATAGCATCCTACATTATATTCAGGAAAATTGGTTACAAAAACGAGCATGTGAAGCAAAATGTGTACAAGATGTATATATTAAAAGAAATATATGCATAAAAAATGCACATGGAAATTATGAATAAAAAATACATCACCAACTGATGCAAAAATGGGGTGAACTCAATTTAAGATTGGAAAAATGGGAAAAACCCAAAACTGATAGATCCATCCATCCCAGGGCCTACCATTTAGGCCTGATTAGGCCCGTGAGCTGGAGGTTTCTCAGTGCAGCTATAGAAATTCTAGATGCAGAACTTCTTTTTGACACATAGCAAAAGTAAATTGTTTGGCACTAGGATATCTGAAGTACACTTGCAGCCATATGAGCCTGTCTAATTATTAAGATCGGGATCTGAGGTACAGCTGTGTAGTATGTCAGTATGGGTTGTTGCAGTTGGATGTGTGAGGGAGAGGGCCTTCTGAGTGGGAGCCCCACATCTCTTATTACCCGGCAAATAAATACTGTACTATCTTCATCAACTAGCTATTGCCCTTGACAATTTCGTGGAGGGGAGGGGGATACAGAAAGGAAAAACATCAAAAATTACCATTCAGAATCTTTGAGTTTTTCTAAAAAATGTATATTGAAATACTTTTTACCCAGTAATATAGAAACAAAATGTATGTTATTTTCTTACCCCACCCCACCCCACCCCCTGCACACACATACACCGGCCTGATCCTGTCATTGAAGCTAAATCAAATATCTGTATCTATACTAGAAATAAAACAAACAAATGTGTTCTGTAAGTCACACAAAGAATGTGTATTGTCTAGTGGAAAAAGAAACAGGGAAACACATTTGCCTCTTCATCCTGGCTGATTTTTAAGGAAACTCAATGACTTGTTACAAATTATACTTTCAGTCTGCCTTTGGCTCACGTGTTGTATGTGACAATTTTAGTTGCCGGTAGTTCCAATGAGATGACTTTGGCTTAATGGTTTATATTGTAATGGTTGTATTTTTTATGTGTTAAAAATTCTTTCGAGACCACCTCATTGAAGACAGGAAGCACACCCTGCTTAATAGATGAGTCAGATATTCTTGGAATAGATGAATGAAATAGTGGTAAACAGATGCTTCTGGCACCCTCAGCTAATGTTCTCTCTTGATTTCAGAGTTCCAAATTACTGCTTCTTACTTCCTTAATGGAACTGATGTGTTAGAAATTGTTCATTGTTCCACTTTATATGTTTTTCCCAGAACACTGGGCTTGCGCATTAGCTTTCTTCAGCTTTTGTATTCCTATCTCCCTCTCTGCTCCATCAACTTGTAATACCAGTGTACATGAATCAAACAGTACATTTATTATTTATTTCACAAACTTTATATAATTGCATACATTAGTCCTATTCAAACATTATAGTTCCCCGGTGTCCCAGCATCTGCTGGTTGGAAGTCTTTGCATCTACATTGGTCCATGTGAAAACTTTCACATGGGGTAGAACCTCAATTGCCCTTGATCTTAATTGGGGATTAGCCTTGGGCTTTAAAAATGCTGTTTTATTTTCCTTTTTGGGGATTTTTATTCTTTCTTTTTATTTTCCTAAGTTTATTGTTCTAGCCCAGGGGTCTGCAACCCGCGGCTCCGGAGCCACATGTGGCTCTTTTATACCTTTGCCGCGGCTCCGGGGCAGATACTAGCGAGGGGAGGAGGCGCATTGTGCGCCCCGACACTCCCCACTGTGGCAGGCGTTGTACTGGCTGTGACGTCGCATGGGGGTGGTGCG